AACCGGCGTCACTAATCATGCAGATTTACGTTACAAGCTTGGTAGAATTGTACAGTAAGAAGTTATTTCCCTTAACCAGGAAATTAACGTTCTTAGAATTGACAAGACAGTTGACCCTGAGTGGTCAGCTAAATATCTACAGCGGATCTAAAATATGAATAGTTAATTATAACTAGTTATGGTTAATTATTCATATTTCCTGTCGTTGAGCTAAATTCGCTACAGTACATCTCAGTTGATTCTCAATTTATTATTGAACAAACAGAGGCTCATATACATCCTTGAGAACTGGTATGAAGTGGTTTAATCGAGGAACAGACCCCATTAGTTATCAGAACAGAAAATACAGGCGACAAAAGTATGTTTATTAAGCAAATAACGGTTCAGTATTGCAATTAAGAGCTATGTAAGCATTAATATTTTACATTGACCACTTAAAATCTTTTATGATTTAGCTCTCTCATGATTATAACTACAAAACTAACCCTATGAAAAAGTGTAAGATAATAATCAGTCCCCTTGACTGATGAAGTCAATACGCATGCGCAGGCAAATGCTCAAGCGCGTCACACAAGATCCGCCTACTCTTGCATAATTGACACCTTCTCATTAGCATGTTGTGCAGAGGAAAAATAAATGTGGAACTACACTCAGAAATAAATTAGTGATCAAAGGAAAATAGTTAGGATTTCCTTAAACATTTTCCATTTGCCCACCAATTTATTTTATTTATTTGCCTACTTTCATCACATGTTTAATTATGTATTTAAACAATTGAATATATATTTCATGTATTTGAACAAGTGAATTTATGCACACATTTATTTATTTATTTGTGTATTTATTTATTGTTTTTGCAGGTTTCGTCCTCCATACTACCTTCACATTTTCAGAGGCACATTGTTTACAAAAATCTTGGGTCCATTGCTCAACATAAAGGGAAAATTATAAGTTTGATCACTTAAGCAGAACAGTTTGAGGTATCATTTATATGTGCAGCACAAACAAGGTTGAATATGTAAAGTTAAAGATCTGAACAAAAGTATTAGCAATAATGAAACTTGTGCAAAAACCACTAATAAAGACCACAACTGTAAATACAATAGTATTGGTTGGTTATAAAGAGAATTGGAATTGCATTTCTAAATTTTGTAACAATTGTGACAGAACAATCTGAAAATTAAATATTAAAGAAGAATATTAGAATTAATATCTTTTAGTAAATACCAAACCATTCAAAAGTTTGGGGTCAGTAAGATATTTTTATGTTTTTGGAAGAGTCATACAGTTTAAAATAATTGTTTTCTATTTTAATATATTTTAAAATGTAATTTATTATTAATTTATTCCTTTGATGGTAAAGCTGAATTTTCAGCACACTATGCTGACCTGCTGCTCAAGAAACATTCATTTTATTATCAGTGTTGTAACACAGTTGTGCCGCTTAATATTTTTGTGGAAACCCCGATACATTTTTTAGGATTCCTTGATAAAGTCTAAAAGAAAAGCATATATATATATATGCGTGTGTGTGTGTGTAAAAGTCTCTTTACTGTCACTTTTGGCCATTTCACTACTTTTGATGTATGCTTGCTGAATAAAATTAAACATTTTATTAAATAATAATAATAAAAATTAAAAACTTACTGACCCCAAACTTTTTAATGGTAGTGTAAGTCTGTAACATGCATTAAAAACCATAAACTAAATTAACCAACCATTGTTTTTACAGCATTTAGTCTATTAATGTAGGTTCATATACATTTCTACATATATTAACACATTTAAAAATTTCTAGATGTATAAATTAACATTAGTGAATGTGTTATGAGCAAACATGAATTAATAACCACCAAAAGCATATTTGTAAATTAACATTATTAACCCAGATTAATACATGCTGTAAACTGTGATACCTAATGCAGCAACTATAAAATTTACTTTTTTTTTTACTTAACTAAAAAACTTAACTTTTACTTAACTTTTATTTGAAAATCTCCTACATGAAACACCCACTTCAAGACCGCTCTCCATGGAGATCATGAATTCTTGGTCCTATTTTAAAGTATTTAGATTTGCAGCAATAACACTCAATGCTACCTGTTAAGAGTCATTGTGCAAAGCATTACCGTAGCCCAGCATTTAAGTTAAATGAAGTTCAACAATAACAAAATGAAAGGGAAAGTATCACAGGATAACTCTGAAATGTTTATATTTCAATGATATAGAGTCTGGAGAAGAGAGCAGAACACTGGGTACTTTATTATGGAAAAACGTGAAATTGGGAAAAGTCTTATCTGGCACATATGTCAGTCTTTATACAAAAACAGAAGAAAGGCTGGCTACAAATCTTGACAATTTATACAAATGCAACAGTAAAAAAAAAAAAAAAAAAAAAAAAAAAAAAAAAAAAAAGTAAACTTCTCTGCTCTGAGAGCACCAACCTCAATATCACCACCTCTCCAAATCCCTGAGGAAAGACTTAAACACTCACCTACGGGTGCAGGTGTCTTAGTCATGCAAGTCTGCATTGTGTGAGTCGATGTGAAAACTGTCATCTAAACAGACACATTAGTTACAGCTAAGAACAGCACAGTATCTATGCAGTCGCAACCATTACCACTAGAAACTATGCTGACAACTTACACTGTGGAGGACAGACAAGACACGATCACATTACGACTGAGACTGATTCAAATTACAAATGGTTTACTATGGTAATGTACTAACTATGAGGAATTCACGTCCTTTGCTGGCATGGGAGGTGTGTTATTCCAATCTTATGCTATTGAAATCACAACGGCGTTTTTCTGCATTAAAGGAATATTTCAGCAAAAAATGAAAATTTGCTGAAAATTTACTTGGTTTGAAGTTAAAAACGTCTTGATGGATTAATTTATTCCTGTGATGGCAAAGCTGAATTTTCCAGTCTTCAGTGTCACATGATCCTTCAGAGACCATTATAATATGCTGATTTGGTGATCAAGAAACATTTCTTATTATTAACATTATCTTGAAGACAGTTATATATATATTTTTTTTATATATTTTTATGAACATTGTGATACTTTTTTCATGACTTTTTGATGAAAAGAAAGTTCAAAAGAACAGCATTTACTTTAATAGAATAAAAGTATTAGTTTCTTTCAAAAAAAAAAAAATTATATATATATATTATACACACAAATCTTACTGACCTCAAACTTTTGAACAGTAGTGTAATTGTGAATTCACACACTGCTGAATGCAATATTATAACAAGTGAACATATTCCATCCCCATTTTATATTAGTAACGCAACAAGGAAATAAAATCCACTGGATCTTTCTGTTACAGAACAGATTTTTGCAAAGTAAGGCAAAGAGAGCTTGCAAGTTCAATTCGCTAACATTACACAGCTAATCGAATGTTCCTTTCCTGTTTTCCTGTCAAGATTTTTGGCAAGATTAATCAGATGGATCCAATTTCTTGAACCCAGCAGTTATCTAGTGTCATGGGCAGGTGTGTCTGGATCGATGTAACATTGATGGAACATGTAAAACCATTCGCACCCCAAACCAAACTTCACATATCATCCGTGCTCCTATGTACAGTGTCAATATGTCCACAACCTGACAAATCTCTTTGTCATTTTGACACAATGGATGAGTGTTTATTTTACATTGAAAAAGATTTACGACATGTTTGGTCAATTTATCTAATTTTGTTGATGTTTCGATGATTTTTCGCGTTTCCATCAGCAATGATGTGCTCATTAAATATTAATGATTCCAATCATATGGATGGAGCAATGACATCGAAATGTACTTTACATGCAGAGTATAGCCTCATGGGGGTTGTAGCACTCTCATTCCTTCTCAATTTCATACAGCCTCAGGACAAATATTGCCCTTCAAGACTATTAAGCATTGACTAACTAATTAAAATCTAATTTATCATGAGACTTCAAGTATGCATCTATGGGCCACTTCAAGTTAACAACTCCCAACACGTTCGGGGAGCTCCGCAGTTCTAGACTGTTCCAGAATTCTTGGTTTTACCAGACATAGCGGCTCTCACATGTTCAAGCGTCCCATGAGGTAACCCAGGATTGAAGACGTTCTTTGTCAGCCCTAGGCTGTCGACTACCTCATTATTGAGAGCTCAGAGAGACCATCTCCTTTACAACCTCAGTAAAGGTGCTCCATTAAATGTGTCCAAGTCAAGGAGCCACGGTCCTCAAGCCCTGTTTTTCCATGATGTTCCACAGTTTCCGCAGGTTGGACTGAGTGATGGTGTCGTCCGGCTTCAGCTGCAAGGCTCGCAGGTAATTAGCCTCCGCTTCTTGGAGTTTGCCGTTGAGATGGAGAATGGCTCCGAGGTTCATGAGGGCTGCGGGATACTTTGGAAGAAAAACACCAAACAGTCATTTTAAGGAAGTAAAAAAAATCCTTTGCATGCTTATTCTCAAGCAAACCCAGGTTCCAGCGAATCCCTGGCATTTCTAAAACATTTTCAGGTTCACATGTCCATAAATTTAGCCAGAATCTCTCTGTTATTCTACAGTCTATAACTCTCCTGGACGCACATCATCTGTTTTACTTATGTCAGGGTTACATGTTGAATGCATCAGGCATCAATGGAAACAATATGTTGACTACGCTGATTCTTCTCACATAAGGAGGTTTCAATAGAGGCGTAAATAAAAATGAACCTAAACTAAACCCAACATTCCATGAGTCCTGACATGCACATACAAAAACATTTTTTTTTGTAATACTTGGGGCTAAAACACAGGCTGGCATGACCATATTTTAAAACCAGCTGTTTTTTATTTGTCAAAAATATTTAATTGCAAGACGTTGATGTAATTTAATTCAAAAACCATTTTTGGACATGCTTCACTTGCCACCTCTCAAGGGAGAGAGTTGTATATTATCTAACACTCATGAGAGTAAAACTAACACTAACTGACTTTTTAGGCCAGCTGCCATGGTCTTCCATACGGAAATGTAGGAGACGATTGTTGTAGAATTACACAACGCATAAGTAAAATATTAGCACCATTTGACCCAACACAGAGATGTCAAACCTCAAAACGAGACTAAGGGACAAATGAACTGCAAACTGTGGCATTAACTGTACTAGAGTGACACATATACCTTCCTCTCAAAACCAAATATATTCTTAAGCCATACTCAGCAATATTTTCACTAGCTTCAAGCATCCAAGAAAAAATCCCTAGAAAAATGTACTTGTAATTTTCTGTCAGGAAATTTGCAGTTTACAGATGTTTGCCTTAACCCTAAAATACAACACAAAACAATATATAATTCAAAATAGCAAACACCTGTGAAAAATCAATTTGGAAAATGATATAAACATACACTGGACCCTAATTTTACTGACTTTTCTAGAGTGTTTATATTAAAAATTGGTGTTTGATATGACCAAAAACTCCCAAAAATCATGGTATGATTTATGAAGCGGTACTGTAAATCATAATATAGATATTTTTTTCCCTGCATTAATTAATAAATATGTTGGTTTAAATTGTAATGGTATTATCCAGTTAACTTCTTTAATGAAAGTAACTCACCTAAATTTTATATATATATATATTTTTTATCATTTATGAAAAGTTGCTTCGAAATATGTGAAAAATTTAATATAATATCCATAAAAAAAGTTACATCTGGCATCAGTGTAAAAACAGTGTCATATTACAGCATGTAACACTTGAAGTACCCCCAAAGCTTATTGAAAAAAATCCTAAATATATTGAAAAGTCAAGCCCTGCAATTCATATTTGTGTGTGCAATTGCATTTTGTGTTTGTATACTATTCAGAAGGGTGTAATGTTTAATTGTTGGCTCAGATGTTTATAGAGACCCACCACTTTAGATTTCTGTAGAGTAGGTCCTTGTGCCTTTACCAGCCAAAAACTATGAATAACTGTCACCCCAACATACAGCCTTTCTAGATACTATCAGGTGAGAGGAAGTGAGCAGCGCTGTGGCCTCAAGACATTTCCTAACCTCCCTGCTTCCTCTTCACCCTACACTCCAACCACACAGTATCCCTCACAACACCCTCCTGGCATGTAGTCACAGCATCAGCAGTACCAGATGTAGGAAGGATCTTGGGACCTTTGTTGAAACAGCTGCTAAGGAGACAAACACCCCTGAAGACAAAAAGTCCAGACACTGTACAACACTGAGGCAGCATTTATGGGAAAAAAAACAAACAAACAACACACACACACACACACACACACACACACACACACAAAAACACAACACACACATACACACACACACACACACACACAAAAACACAACACACACATACACACACACACACACACACACAAAAACACAACACACACATACACACACACACACACACACACAAAAACACAACACACACATACACACACACACACACACACACAAAAACACAACACACACATACACACACACACACACACACACAAAAACACAACACACACATACACACACACACACACACACACAAAAACACAACACACACATACACACACACACACACACACACAAAAACACAACACACACATACACACACACACACACACACACAAAAACACAACACACACATACACACACACACACACACACACAAAAACACAACACACACATACACACACACACACACACACACACACACACACACACAAAAACACAACACACAAAAAAAATCAAGGCTTACTACTGGTATCAAATAATTCAAGAAGTGCACTTCAAAGTAATAACATAAAGAGAATAACTTTAAAGGGAATGGTTTACTATATTTAACAATCGTTGACATACAACGTATGCCCCAAATATTAATTTAAAACAAATGTTTATATTGCCTCTAAATGCTGTTAAAAATGCTGTTAAATACAATATTAACGCTAGTTTAACCAGTGGCATGAGTTTTTTGACAAAACTATCAGTCATTATTATTATTTTTGTAACATTTCAAACCAAAATACCCTGTTTTCATACACATACAGTATATAATATACAGAGCAGAGGAAAGAAAACTAAGTTATGCAACATACTTGGTATGAAACCCAAAAGCATACATAGCCATCACTCAGAGATATATTTATTATGTAAAATAAAGATAATCATAATAAATACATTTGTAATTAATTAGTAACATTAAAAATAATTGCTTTTAAGAGTTGAAAAATAAAAATATAATATATATATATATATATATATATATATATATATATATATATATAAATTATATAAATTATAAATAAACAAATTCATTTGAAACTCATTCCACTGTTGTTTTAATGAAGGTTCATTAGCCATTTTCCAGGGTATTTTGTCTTTGCTGCCATCATAAACAAAACAAGACAAGACAGTTTTCTCAATCTAAAGTCGACTTCACCTAACAGGCTTAAGCCTCCAATCAGCCTTTGAAAATATTTCAAATGTTCTACATTTCCATCTTTCCATTTTGCACTTCTGTCTGGTGAGCAGGGCAACTTCTTTTTAGGCAGCTGTACACTGAACATCAAACGCATCCACATATTCCAAAGAAATCAAACAACTGTGTTTTGTGAACCTCACAGTACACTTCCATGACATACTGCGTCTCTTTATAGTTTGACACTGATGCTGTGAAAACAAACCCCAAAACCACCAGCAGAGCTTGTACAACTGATACAACTTATGGTGAGCAGTTGAGTCACACAGATCAATTATAGTCAACCACCATGTGTGTGCAATGTGCATGGCACACATCCCATGTGCGGCACGGCTTGGGTACTTACATTGGGTCTCAGGTTGGCTGCTTGTCTGTAGTACTTCTCAGCGGGATCATTGAGGCTGGCTTGCCTGAAAGAGCAAATAAACATTGCGTGTTACTTCATCCTTTTGCACAAGTTTATCGCTGGCAATTAAACCGGTGACCATTTGTTGATCAACTTTAATGCCGAGTAAAATTGTGCAGTGGCCAAAGAGGGTTATAAAACTGCCCAATTACACAATTTTTGAGTAGAAAATGTGCCCTCATTTCTTAGGTCATGACCTACAACCTACTGGATGCTCTTTGAAGATCTTTAGCTTCTTTACAACCACAAGGTGTTATTTTTCATGGAAAAATACCCATATACATCCTCTAGCTGCTTGTATCTGCTGGTAGCAATATCTTCTTTGTGAAGAGAGTTCAATATGGAGACAATGACCATCAGCCAAGAAAGGCTGGGTTGTAATGATGAAAGAGAGCTGAAGATTTCCTTTATTTATGATAGATGACCGCTTTTCTTATACTGGCCGGTTTTATAAACCCTCCTTTATTCTCAACAAAACTTTGCTGAAAAGAGCTAAGGTTAAAGGTTTCAAGAAATAGCTATTTATTAAGGGAAAATAGTATGCACTGTACTTGAAATATTCATGGAGTGAGATGATGGATAAATTATTTGTGTGGAAAACATTCCAGTTTCTTAACCTTGCCATGAGGGAAGAGAGATGAATGAGAAAGAAGAAAAATGAAGACATTGCGTTGATATACAATTCAGGAAGAAATTTCTACAAGCTGCAGATATTATGAGTTAAAGAGAAAAGACTCATTCCGTTTAGGACATATGCAGTTGTGCTTATATGGACAACACACGTTTGAATCCAGCTTGCAACATTTCCAAATCCCATTCTCAACTTCCTCACTCTACTATACTTTGAATAAAAAAAAGCCAAAAATAAAATAAAGTGCTGAGCGGGAGAATGTATTGGGTCATGGTGAACTCTGAACAGCTAAACATGGTGTTGCCCTTCCCTTTGTACAGTAAGAGTCGGCACATTTAGGTCACAACATTTTGAGTTGCTTTGTGAAACATCAGCTGTTTTAGATGTAGGTTACAATGATCTAATAGTTTATTTACAAAAAAAAACAAAAAAAAAAACATAATTAAAATATTCAGGGAGGAAACAAGAATAATTTAAATGTAAAGAGTCATCCAAAACCCTTAAATTAAATTAAATTAACATTTATTTGTATAGCAGTTTTCACGATACAAATTGTTGCAAAGCAGCTTCACAGAAAATTAAAGTTTCTACATTATATTTAGAAGTAGCTTATCAGTGGTGATTATGTCAAAGTGATGTTCTATGATTCTAATCGAAGAATAAGGAAGTCACCTGTCACAATCTACACGGCGTGTCTTTATATTACCTATATTTACAAATGACTGAAAACAGCTCATTTAGATCAGTGATACTCAAGCTAAAGTCTAGTGATGCCCAGTTGGTTTCTGGGTCAGAAAAAAAAATAATAATAAAAGTGAGAAGAATTAATAATAAAAAAAAATAAAAATAGTTGCTTTTAAAAATAGTTGAAACATTAATTAATCAATATTCTGAAAAATAATATTTACTAATTTACTGTATTAAACTATTTAGCACAATGACATTATAAAAACATGTTGCATGTGACATTTATTTTTTTTCCTCTCTCATGTGGTAGGAATGAGTCTTCAAATATATCGCTCTCTTCATCAAAAAGTTACATAAAAATCTATGGGATGACTGGTAATCAACAGTGGACTTAAGCAGTTAACAAGAGCCATGTGTTACTATTTACCCTCCACAATTCTGTTTCACAATCCTTTCCTCCTGAGTCTGTGTAATTTTCACATTCACATGCACACAATAAAATGTGGCTTGATCGTGACCAAAATTGTCTGCAGGGACAAAGGATTTTGTTATAATCAACAGTGAGAAAGTTACCACCCTTAACAGAGTCAAAACTGTGTTAAGACTGGATTAACTGCAATATATGGTGAAAATCTAAAAGACAGCATCAGTTGGATGCTGATATAAACCTCCAAAATACAAAAAAAACAAATGTTTAATTTCTGGCGACCAAACTTTTCCTCCATCCCACCGCAGTCTACTCATTATTTCATTTCAATGTGGTCACCAACATTCCGAGAAAAAGCATAAAATAATTCATGACCCGTTGATGTAAACATGTAAGACTGTATTACATGAAAACTTCAATGGTAAGCTTTTATTGTACAAAGCTATAGAAATCCTCACAAAAAAATGGAGAGGTATGGATTATGGATTAATAACAGGAGCAACACTCACAGGAGGCAAAAAGTCTGACAGCAATGGTCTTGAAATGTAATATGGAAGGAGGTGAATTTGTTACAAAAGTGGTGCTTTAAAGGAGATTAATTTAGACTTTGAGAATGAGAGGCTTTTTAGCAGACTGTAGACTATTAGGACTGTCAGAACACTAAAATCCTTTCTAAGAAGCATTTAAAATTTGCCCCTTTAAAGAATGGTTCACCAAAAAATGTAAATTAGCGTTCTTTATTCACCTTTAGTCCAAGATGTAGAAGTGAAATTTAGCATTACTCATTCACCAGTGGATCCTCTGCAGTGAATGGGTGCCATCAGAATAGGAGTCCAAACAGTTTGAAGTTAAAAAGTCTTAATGATGGAATTGTTTGTTAGAAACACTCAGCATAAATTGACAAATTGATGGACAGGACTCATGTGGATTATTGTGATGTTTTTTATTAGCTGTCTGAACGCTCATTCTGACGGCACCCATTCACAGGATGCAAGTGATATAATCCAAATCTTTTCAGATAAAGAAACCAATTCAACATTTTGGATGGCCTGAGGGTGAATACATTTTCAGCAAATGTTCATTCTTGGAGGAAACTGCTTGTGAATGTCTTGCAATATCGTCACTAAAGATCCACGCCTACACTCTTAAAGTAGCTGTGCATTTATTGAATGAGCACTGTGCGATGTCCGAACTGATTGCACTATATTATATGTATAATCGTTTCCTTAAATTAATTTGAAACCTCTTAAATATATATTTTTTTAATAATTTTCAATGTTTTTAAATTCCTTGTTTTATTGTTGTGATTATTGTTTTTATTTTATTTTATTTTATTTTATGTAAAGCACTTTGAATTACCATTGTGTATGAAATGTGCTATACAAATAAACTTGCCTTGCCTTATCTGGGCCCGTGACATTCATGTTTTGTCCTGCTTAAAAAGTAATCTATATAGATTTTTTTTCAGCACATCAAAGACATTTACATTAAATGGTTCTGTAACATCTAAGATTCACAACATCCCAGCATAAATGCTCCCGATAAAATATTTGTTATTTAGGCTAAGCATCAACATTCACAAACCACTGTTATTTTTAACAGAAATGCAAGCATGGGCTGCTGCGTGCATTGTTTGGCATGGCAGAATGCGATCAGCGCTTCCTTTATTATCACTAAAAGCTGACATCACAGTTCATCGCACAGTTCATCGCTCATAAAGCTCTGTTATAACACAATGAACATATGCATAATGAATCTTTCACAATGTCTACACTTTGTGCGTTCCAGAAATCAATAGCTGAGTCTGTGATTGGCTACATTGCAACCCTTTAAACACGTGTTATAAATAGAAACTCTGACTAGCTATTTTAAATGTTATTAGTTGTTCTTTTTGCTTTTGTGTAACACATAAATAACAATTTATATGTTTTAGACATTTTGTGTTTAGATCATTTCTATTTTGCGGGAGTCCCGCAAATCATTTTATTCTTCTGCATCCCGCACACACACACACACACACACACACACAAGACTCTTCCCGCCCGCACCTGCACTCGCCCATCAAGAGTTGTCCCGCACCGCACTTGTTGTGTTAGGTCCCACGGGAGTGCAGGTCTATCTATCTATATATTCCAGGAATATGGGTATTTAATCATAGCAAAAATTGTAGTCCTTATGGATTTAGCATGTCCTCCTCACCTGAGCATGTGAGCTGCACTGAAAACCACATCAAATTCTTCACTGTCCAACTGGGCGGCTTTCTCTGCCATTTCAGCGGCCTCCAAAAGCCGTGACTCCTCCAGCAAAAATTGACCTAAGGAAGAAAAAAAAAAGTGGGGGAATTTCATTTGATATTTGCTTTTACTTCCTCGGAAAGACAAATATGAAATATTTCCTTTGGCTGTGGGACGGATAGTTTGGTCTGCCCTCTCAATGATTTTGTGAAACATGAGATAGTAAGGGCGCTGTACTGACAGACCATTTGTCCAATTGAGATTTCTCCGATAGGCATGTTTCCGTGATAAATTAAATGCTTACTCCTGTAAGGTTGAGGAAAGGGGACTGACTGGGATCTGAAACCTCTGCAGTATTGTTGCTAGAGGCATCTGTCAAGACTGAAGTGGAATAAATAACCTGCTGCTATTTGGCGAAGCGGCTCTCCACATTTCTGAACACCACTGGGCCAAAACCAAACATTTTTTCCCAAACAGCAATGGCCCAAAGTAGAAACCTAAGAAGCGATGTAATGCAAATCAAAGAATGCTAGAACATTGTCACTGGTTATGGCATTTTTGGACGGCACAAATGTATGGTTTAATACAAATATTACAAAAATCTGGAATGAATAAGCTCTTTTCAAACTATCTTTCTCTAGTAAATGACTGTGGTGGTCTATTATGCAAAATGGAAAATACAAAGCAGCAGCCACATTCTCCAGTCCAGTGGTTATGCACTAGAGAACAATAGAAGGAAATACAAGATCATCCTTATGGCCTTTGGATAGTACGTGCTCTGAAGATGTCTGATCAGACACGTACTAAATTATATTACGCAGATGCCTTGGCAGCGATCGAGTGGAAAACATATTGTCGGGGTTAGCCAGTGATGCTGTGTTTATCTAGACAAAATCCAATACATGGGAGCATCCAGGGACAGGTCAACTATAAAAATCAAGGATCTGAGGAAAAAAACGGTAAAGACCATTATTAGGATAATTAATAAATTATAAAAATTAAATAAAAACGTTATACTTTTATATCGAAAACAAATACTGTCAATTATAAATATGACTGCATACTGTACAGTATTAATGCATTTAGAATTGTTAATGTTTTTTATGTTTTAAAATTGTGGCTGTTACAGTATGACTTTTTTTTGTCATGATCATAAACTAAAATAATATTTTCATCAACATTTCCATTTTAGTCTGTAAAACTGATTCAAATTAATAAAAATGGCAGAACAAAAAGTTGATTAAACTAGTCAGTTAGAAATACCAAGGGTTCACACAAAACAAGGGGAATGTGCTTTTAGCTATTATGCCACCCGCAGTTGGAATCAGCTTCCAGAAGAGATCAGATGTGCTAAAACATTAGTCACATTTAAATGCAGACTCAAAACTCATCTGTTTAGCTGTGCATTTATTGAATGAGCACTGTGCGATGTCCGAACTGATTGCACTATATTATATGTATAATCGTTTCCTTAAATTAATTTGAAACCTCTTAAATATATATTTTTTTAATAATTTTCAATGTTTTTAAATTCCTTGTTTTATTGTTGTGATTATTGTTTTTATTTTATTTTATTTTATTTTATGTAAAGCACTTTGAATTACCATTGTGTATGAAATGTGCTATACAAATAAACTTGCCTTGCCTTATCTGGGCCCGTGACATTCATGTTTTGTCCTGCTTAAAAAGTAATCTATATAGATTTTTTTTCAGCACATCAAAGACATTTACATTAAATGGTTCTGTAACATCTAAGATTCACAACATCCCAGCATAAATGCTCCCGATAAAATATTTGTTATTTAGGCTAAGCATCAACATTCACAAACCACTGTTATTTTTAACAGAAATGCAAGCATGGGCTGCTGCGTGCATTGTTTGGCATGGCAGAATGCGATCAGCGCTTCCTTTATTATCACTAAAAGCTGACATCACAGTTCATCGCACAGTTCATCGCTCATAAAGCTCTGTTATAACACAATGAACATATGCATAATGAATCTTTCACAATGTCTACACTTTGTGCGTTCCAGAAATCAATAGCTGAGTCTGTGATTGGCTACATTGCAACCCTTTAAACACGTGTTATAAATAGAAACTCTGACTAGCTATTTTAAATGTTATTAGTTGTTCTTTTTGCTTTTGTGTAACACATAAATAACAATTTATATGTTTTAGACATTTTGTGTTTAGATCATTTCTATTTTGCGGGAGTCCCGCAAATCATTTTATTCTTCTGCATCCCGCACACACACACACACACACACACACACAAGTCTCTTCCCGCCCGCACCTGCACTCGCCCATCAAGAGTTGTCCCGCACCGCACTTGTTGTGTTAGGTCCCACGGGAGTGCAGGTCTATCTATCTATATATTCCAGGAATATGGGTATTTAATCATAGCAAAAATTGTAGTCCTTATGGATTTAGCATGTCCTCCTCACCTGAGCATGTGAGCTGCACTGAAAACCACATCAAATTCTTCACTGTCCAACTGGGCGGCTTTCTCTGCCATTTCAGCGGCCTCCAAAAGCCGTGACTCCTCCAGCAAAAATTGACCTAAGGAAGAAAAAAAAAAGTGGGGGAATTTCATTTGATATTTGCTTTTACTTCCTCGGAAAGACAAATATGAAATATTTCCTTTGGCTGTGGGACGGATAGTTTGGTCTGCCCTCTCAATGATTTTGTGAAACATGAGATAGTAAGGGCGCTGTACTGACAGACCATTTGTCCAATTGAGATTTCTCCGATAGGCATGTTTCCGTGATAAATTAAATGCTTACTCCTGTAAGGTTGAGGAAAGGGGACTGACTGGGATCTGAAACCTCTGCAGTATTGTTGCTAGAGGCATCTGTCAAGACTGAAGTGGAATAAATAACCTGCTGCTATTTGGCGAAGCGGCTCTCCACATTTCTGAACACCACTGGGCCAAAACCAAACATTTTTTCCCAAACAGCAATGGCCCAAAGTAGAAACCTAAGAAGCGATGTAATGCAAATCAAAGAATGCTAGAACATTGTCACTGGTTATGGCATTTTTGGACGGCACAAATGTATGGTTTAATACAAATATTACAAAAATCTGGAATGAATAAGCTCTTTTCAAACTATCTTTCTCTAGTAAATGACTGTGGTGGTCTATTATGCAAAATGGAAAATACAAAGCAGCAGCCACATTCTCCAGTCCAGTGGTTATGCACTAGAGAACAATAGAAGGAAATACAAGATCATCCTTATGGCCTTTGGATAGTACGTGCTCTGAAGATGTCTGATCAGACACGTACTAAATTATATTACGCAGATGCCTTGGCAGCGATCGAGTGGAAAACATATTGTCGGGGTTAGCCAGTGATGCTGTGTTTATCTAGACAAAATCCAATACATGGGAGCATCCAGGGACAGGTCAACTATAAAAATCAAGGATCTGAGGAAAAAAACGGTAAAGACCATTATTAGGATAATTAATAAATTATAAAAATTAAATAAAAACGTTATACTTTTATATCGAAAACAAATACTGTCAATTATAAATATGACTGCATACTGTACAGTATTAATGCATTTAGAATTGTTAATGTTTTTTATGTTTTAAAATTGTGGCTGTTACAGTATGACTTTTTTTTGTCATGATCATAAACTAAAATAATATTTTCATCAACATTTCCATTTTAGTCTGTAAAACTGATTCAAATTAATAAAAATGGCAGAACAAAAAGTTGATTAAACTGACATGTTCATCAAAAACTATGACTAAAAAAACTGTAAAATTAACACTGAAAATAAGGATGTGATGCACAAAAAGTAATAATTTGAGAAAAGGTTCCAAAATGAAGCAAAAATACTGTAGGGAGGTAAAACAAATAAATAAATAAAAATCCCTAGGAAGTAAACTGAGCTACAATAATCTCTGTTGAAGAAAATGGCCACAGGATATAATTTGGCAAAATCACATTCATGCAGACACACATGAAAACTCCTTAGAGGAATAAGTCCTCGTTATCTCTCTCTGCTCGCTGAGGCGTGGGAGGATTCGTCTCACTGGAATAACATCTGTATACCAGGTACGCTTCAGATAACACCGAAACAATGATTTCCTGCACGGCACCATCTATCTTGCTGTGAAAGAGCCTACAAACGTAACCTGAATTACATGACAAATGTCTGCTAAAGAACTAAATGCGAACAATTATGGCCAACATGGAGTTCAGGAGAAACCGCACAAGGCGTTACAGAGTATACACGAATTTCACTACGTCAGCAAAGCTAGAGTAGATGCAATGAGTGTATTCAAATGACCTCATTATCTTTGCATTACTGGATGACTAGCTAATGTCATTTCAGCCCATGTGTGCATGTTTAGGAGAAATAAAATAAAGTAATACCAACCATAATGCATATAGCAGTTTCCTTTAGTAGGATCGAGCTCGATCGCCTTGAGAAAGAACTTCTCCGCTTCTGTTTTCTGACCCTGAAATGAAAACAAACAAGGCATATCAGGAATTTCTTCACGGCGAGGTTTTCATGGAAACTTTCATTTTTCATTTTTAACCTTTGTCCTGATATATAATGTTCACTAGAGCAACAGGAAATGTGTTTAGCAATTCCAGTGCCTAATGCTGCTACAACTGCACATTTTGACTGCATTAGTAATTCCAAGAACTATCCTTAAATTAAAACTAAATAAATAACAGACAAAAACAACAAAAAAAGAATAATAAAAAGAATATAACAAATAAAATCATATTTTATATTTAATGCAATGGGATTGCATTGACTGTATATTATGCTACTTAATAAATATGACATTTTGATTTAAGATATAATTTTATCAGACAAAAAGAAAGAGACCCCTGAATGATAAGAGAGAAAAATTGAGAGAATATTTAGTGGTCATTATACAAAAACATTCCAGAGAACCGAATGAGAAAAACCGAATACATCTCCAGTGCATCTTAAAACCTGAAGAATTCATACTGGTTCCAGTCTGAGATGCATTATAATACCCTGTAATACCCTGTTCTCACGATTCACTTGATTAACCATGCATGGATTTATCTGCAGACCAGATGCAAAACAGTGATATATTTTTATTTACACTGTATAATTTAAATCCCCAGCGCAGTGATGTGTAACTTTAAATCAATGCATTGCACTCACAGGGCTGCCTACACTTGATAGAGCCAGTGCTGTTTAATGTTAGACATGGATGTTTGCAAACTTACACCATGTCAAGAGTCTGAAAAAAATAAAGAAACCGTCACTTGGAACACTTGACCTGTATATTTTATGCGGGGGGGGGACAAGAGTAAGTAAAGTTTGGGTTTTTTAAGATTTTTTAATGTTTTTGAAAAGTCTTTTATGCTCACTAAGGCTGCATTTATTTGTATCAGAATACAATAAAAACAGGAATATTGTGAAATATTATTACAATTTAAAATAACAGTTTTTATTTTAATATATCTTAAAATTTTATTAATTCCTGTGATGGCAAAACTGAATTTTCAGCAGCCATTACTCCAGTCTTTAGTGTCACATGATCCTTCAGAAATCATTCTAATTTGCTAACTTTGTGCTCAAGAAACATGTATCAATGTATTAATTTCCTTAAAAAACATCTTATTGCCCCCTAAACTTCTGAACAGTGGAGTACATCAACTCACTACGTCAGCAAAGCTAGAGTAGATGCAATGAGTGTATTCAAATGACCTCATTATCTTTGCATTACTGGATGACTAGCTAATGTCATTTCAGCCCATGTGTGCATGTTTAGGAGAAATAAAATAAAGTAATACCAACCATAATGCATATAGCAGTTTCCTTTAGTAGGATCGAGCTCGATCGCCTTGAGAAAGAACTTCTCCGCTTCTGTTTTCTGACCCTGAAATGAAAACAAACAAGGCATATCAGGAATTTCTTCACGGCGAGGTTTTCATGGAAACTTTCATTTTTCATTTTTAACCTTTGTCCTGATATATAATGTTCACTAGAGCAACAGGAAATGTGTTTAGCAATTCCAGTGCCTAATGCTGCTACAACTGCACATTTTGACTGCATTAGTAATTCCAAGAACTATCCTTAAATTAAAACTAAATAAATAACAGACAAAAACAACAAAAAAAGAATAATAAAAAGAATATAACAAATAAAATCATATTTTATATTTAATGCAATGGGATTGCATTGACTGTATATTATGCTACTTAATAAATATGACATTTTGATTTAAGATATAATTTTATCAGACAAAAAGAAAGAGACCCCTGAATGATAAGAGAGAAAAATTGAGAGAATATTTAGTGGTCATTATACAAAAACATTCCAGAGAACCGAATGAGAAAAACCGAATACATCTCCAGTGCATCTTAAAACCTGAAGAATTCATACTGGTTCCAGTCTGAGATGCATTATAATACCCTGTAATACCCTGTTCTCACGATTCACTTGATTAACCATGCATGGATTTATCTGCAGACCAGATGCAAAACAGTGATATATTTTTATTTACACTGTATAATTTAAATCCCCAGCGCAGTGATGTGTAACTTTAAATCAATGCATTGCACTCACAGGGCTGCCTACACTTGATAGAGCCAGTGCTGTTTAATGTTAGACATGGATGTTTGCAAACTTACACCATGTCAAGAGTCTGAAAAAAATAAAGAAACCGTCACTTGGAACACTTGACCTGTATATTTTATGCGGGGGGGGGACAAGAGGAAGTAAAGTTTGGGTTTTTTAAGATTTTTTAATGTTTGTGAAAAGTCTTTTATGCTCACTAAGGCTGCATTTATTTGTATCAGAATACAATAAAAACAGGAATATTGTGAAATATTATTACAATTTAAAATAACAGTTTTTATTTTAATATATCTTAAAATTTTATTAATTCCTGTGATGGCAAAACTGAATTTTCAGCAGCCATTACTCCAGTCTTTAGTGTCACATGATCCTTCAGAAATCATTCTAATTTGCTAACTTTGTGCTCAAGAAACATGTATCAATGTATTAATTTCCTTAAAAAACATCTTATTGACCCCAAACTTCTGAACAGTGGAGTAAATCAAAATTTTATTTAGGGGTTTTGTTTCATATGAAAAAATGCATGCCTGTGTCACACGCAGAGGTCGTGTTATCACTCTAAAGCAATATCCTGCGTCACTCCCTTGCGTGAACACACATACACACCCCTGTGCTGGACCCCTGACCCCTTAATCTGAGCATGACATCAGAGAGACAACAGACACACTGCTGCTCCAACTTGCTCATGAACGGATTCTGAGCCTGATTAGTGGCGGAAATGAGAGAATTCAATAACACAGCTGAAACACTCACACACACAGACACACTCGCATCCCTGGGGTTGGGCTCTTTGACCTGGTGAGTTTGTGAAGAGAGGTCAGGGAAGGTCAGCACAGCAGGGGAAAGGACTGAGTTTCATCATGTCTCCGTCTTTCGACCCCTGACCGTGAAGATTTCCCTGTTCCCCACCTGGAAATGATGCCACGACAATGTGATGCTAACAGGATGAGCACTGCCTTATCATTAATTTATATTTTTAGATGAATTAATGACATTAAGACGACAGAGAGAAGTGACAGTAAGGACTTTTTCATAAATAATTCTGTTTCAAATCAATTCTGTTCTTTGGAAATTCCTATTAATCAAAAAATCCTGAAAGAAATCTTTCTAAATTCACAATTTTCACACAAAAAAAAAACAGCACAACTTTCATATTAAGAAATGTTTCCTGAGCATCAAATCTGCACATTAGAAAGATTTCTAAAGGATCATGTGACACTGAAGACTGGAGTAATGATGCTGAAAATTCAGCTTTGCCGACACATGAATAAATTACATTTTAAAATATATTGCAATAGAAAACAGTTATTTTAAATCATAGTAATACTTCACAATATTACTCTTTATAAGAAGACTGACAGCATGGGGATAGGAATATGTTGTGTTATCTAAAACAATTTTAAAGAGCTATTATATAGGGCTGTCAATTTAATTTAACACTTTAATTCAGTGTAATTCATTTGAAAAAAAGCTCATTAATCATGCTATATAATTAATTGTAATTGTATCAACAGGGATTTTTCTATTATCAGAAAAGTTCAATACTGAAGTACAATAATTCTTTTAACAAATAATGATGTGTGTGTTTAATTTGATTAAATTAATTGGAATATCACAATTAAAAACCATTAAAGGTTTTAGTCAATTGACAGCCTAAAAATAATGAATGTTGCCATGCAAATAAACTACAAACTAACAAGAAACCAATGTACTTACAAACACATCATTCATGAAACAACATGTTTTAAGGATCACAGGTGGAACTGATGAACAAATACTCACTACATCAAACCTGCATAAGTGCACACAACTTTTTTTCCTTTCATCCATTCAAGGTCAGTGAACTGATCAAATCACTGCCCAGGCCCACTAAACCCTGAGGTAGCTTCATTTTTACCCAAATGATTATGGGTACTCATGTTTTACCCTGTTTCTGCATTAAGCAAGCAGAAACCGCAAGGACCTGAGTGCTTTGAGCTGAAAACTTTCTTCAAAATCAATACGGCTCTGAAGTGAAGACAACACCTTTTGAATTTGCTCTCACTTGAGTGAGTTTCAGCACAGCAGTACGGCTTTGTGATGGATTGACTTTGTCTCTGGTGGAATGACTTGTTCTGGCCTCTTCCAATGGCTTCATTCAAGAAGTTTGTGTAGTTTACTTGCATTCTTTGGTTACAGTGTGAGGCCCTGGATTGAGATGTTTGAGGACAGGGTCTTGGGTTTTTAGTCAACTGAGACGAGAAAAAGAAAGAGAGGGACAGAGACACAGAACCCTTTCATCTGACATTGCTTATTCTTGGCTGTGTGAAATGATGTAACTGGCAGAAATGTGTGGTTAATCTAAACGGTTTATGAAGAGTATGCTATGAATACTACACTGTTTTTGTTATTTGCACTAAGGTATATGACAGGGTCAAGAATATCTAAACAAACAAAATAAAAGCAAAATTGATAAAAAAATAAAAAAATAAAAAAGATGGTAAATGAAGACGGTAAAAGGCCTGAAGAGGACCATATGGCCAGAGTGGAAATGAAAGGAGACAGACACAGGTAAACGTAAAACAACCCGCTCCGCAGCAGAGCAGGAACTCTGAGCCATCGCCTTTTCTCAACCCTTTTTAACACATTTTCTCTCTTATCTGTCCACACGGATTTCTGCTGAGTGAATTCAGACCCAGGGCATACGTGCGACTAATCCGGCCTTCTGTTTTTTTTTAGCTGCTTCACTTTTTCGGTTTAATGTTTCAATATCAGAGAGAAAGAAAGAATGCGTTTGGCCTAAAGGGACTTCTTCTAAGTTAAGATTTATGGATAAAAAGGGTTTCTTTATTAAATGGCTCCTTCTCTTAGACACAGAAAGCCAATGTGTGCTCAAGCCTTGTTGTGCCTAAAGGGTATTTAATGTTCAAAAGAGAGTTTTGTCTTCCAGACAATCATGTTTGAGTTACTAATCAATTAATTAGCAGATGTCTCTGTGTTTTTTGTCTATAAAATGTTTGCTTGGGACCCATTGACTTTTATTATATGGACTATTATGGACAAATGTTTTCTTTTGTATTCCACAGAAGAGCAAAATCATACAGGTTTAGAAAAACACAAGGGATCATAAATTATGATGAAATTTTCAATTAAGGATACCACTATTCTGACCTAAAAGGGATATTTTATTGGTCTTCGCTTGTGTTCAAACTTGTAACCTTTCGTTTGCAAGCCTAAATATTTAACAACTAGCCAACTCAATCCCTTATTCAGTCAGTGTGCTTTAGAGTGTGAGTTTACCATCATTGCCAGGAGCTTGCCGTAAGTGAGGTGTGCAGGTATATGGTCCGGTTTGGCTCGGAGGGATTCCTTATACCAGTGTTCTGCCTCTGTTAGTTTGTTCAGCCTCATGTAGGCCTCTCCTGTGAGGGGAGGAGACGGGGTCAGGTCAACAGGTCAGAAGTTAATAAAGCACATAACCACCCCCCTCGCCGTGGTTTATCCCATAACAGAAATGGAGGCAGTCAACTAAAAATGACCCACAAAAATTCAGACACTCGATGAAAAGTGATACTGGAGCCCTCCGTCCATTTAAGTAAAATGAGTGAAACCAACATTAAGTGATTGTTTTCCGATCAGCAGACATTCAGTTATTTATAAGATTTTACTTGAATATTTATATTAGATAATTTTGCAATTTTTGCATGTGATTAAAAAATTAATTAAAAAAATAGTAGTCGTGTCAAAAATAAACCTGCCCATTTTTTTTATGTTTTTGAAATGGGTATTTCATGCTCACTCAGGTTGCATTTATTCATTAGTTACTACAGGAAAAAAAAAACTAAGTAAAAATGATAAAATATTATCAAAATGTAAAATTATTTTAAACTCTTCAGAAATCATATGTTTCACGATAGAAATCTTTTGTAACAATGTAAAAGTCTTTTTGCTGAATAAAAGTATTACAAAATTTTATTACCACAAATAAACACAATGTGTGTATATATATATATATATATATATATATACACACACACACACACACATATATACATATATGTGTATATATATATATATATATACATACATAAGTGTATATATACATACATATATGTAATATATATATATATATATATATACATACATATACATATACATACATATACATACATATATGTATATATACATACATATATGTATATATATATATATTTACGTATACTAAATATAATTTACATACATACAAATGTTTACTTAATCAGTGTTAAGTTTGAATTGAGCATAAAAAGTTTAAGCACTGTACATAAAAAATTGTAAACACACACTGAGCAAAACAAATAAAGTGCAAAAAATGACAACATTTAATAATTTATTTTATTAACTTATTAACAGTTAATTAAAAAAAAGAATAAATACATAAAAAAAATTATATGTAAAGAAACTAAAACAAAATACTTAAATACTGTGCCCTACGGTCTTCAGCTCAGCAATTCAAAGCCGTGTCTGTCCCAGCGCCAACCCTACACTCTTATAAATCCAACCGTAAAAGCTGACTCCATATGACACAAGTATAAACACACACTCCTATCCTTTAAACAACATCTAATACCTCAGCCAGCCTCCAGCTCCCACCCACCTGCAATAACACACACGCTCCTCTAAGACAGATTATTACAGAAGAGTGTATCATAGCTACTTCACTGAGATAACACAGCCTAAACAATGTTAATGAAATGTAATTAGAGCTAAATTAACATAAGCAGAGGGTACGTGACTACACTGGGGTTTCACATGACCGGCAGTCTCAATACATATCTGTCCACACTCATGTCATGTTGGTGTCAAATATAGAACACGTGGGTCATTAAAACCGCCTGAAGTCAAATAATGCTGGAATTTTCAGCTATTATTTTAAAGATAAAAAAATGACATACTGCAGATGGCTAACTAATGACAGCTGGGAATGATGTCGACACAAAAAATTCTCGCCATGTTTGTAAAATAAAATGAATATTGCTTTGGAAATGCAGATTTTCAAGAAATACAGAAAACTCTGACTCATTTAGTAAACCTTAAACACACTTCTTTATTCATCACACATTTGTTTTGTGCAATAGAAAAACATTGTTTCTGAAGAGTCCTAACAGTAAAGAATATGATCAAATGGAATCTTGAATTTAGCAATGAAAAAAAAAAAAACTACTACGCTACTGTAATACTTTTATTTAGCATGGATGCACTAAACTGATCAAAAGTGACAGTAAAGCCATTTTCAATTCGATTTAAAATACATTCTATTCTTTTGAATGTTCTATTTCTCAAAGAATCCTGAAAAACAATGTTTCTTGAGCATCAAATCAGCATATTATAATGATTTCTGAAGGATCATGTGACACTAAAGACTGTACTAATGGTTGCTGAAAATTCAACTTTGCATCACAGGAATAAAATACATTTTAAAGTATATTAAACTATATATTTTTTCTGCTGTTTTTACTATATTTATGATCAAATAAATGCAGCCTTGGTAACAAACTTCTTTCAAAAACATAAAAAAAAAGAGTCTTACTTTTGAACGGTAGTGTACAAAATGTTCACAAGCTGGTATATTTACCAATTCAAAGTTTTGTTTAACATTGTTCAACACGCAATCTAACCTCCTCAGTCAAGCTGTATTTGGCTCAGTTTGTCAGAAGAGACAGCTGATGATTTTGGCTGTTAGAACGAGCTCAATATAGCTGAAACTGTGACAACAAACAAAAAAAACTCAAAACCGAAAAATTTACAACAATTAAGCTTGGAAAGAAATTAACATGGGGAAAGGGATCAAATAATGAATTAGGAGTGGAAAGAAAAAATACAGTTAAGAGGAGATAATTGTGAGAAAATGAGATGGGAGGGAAAGGCTGGTAAATGTATTGCATAAGATATTAAAATCCAACAGTTTGTTCCCATGCTCTAAATAAAACAGAAAGATTCTCACACTCTCTGTATTGTGCAAAGCCTCTAACTCTAGCTGTTGACTCAATCTGACAAAATCAATTCTATAGATCAAAGAACGCTATGGAAGTGGGTTCACAAGAAAAGACACCATTACAATTACAGAACCACTGCTGAGACAAGATAAAAACAACATGTAGTTACAGTAAGTAAGGAATAATGTACAGTTAGTCGGTCACTATTGTGAAATAAACCTGACGGTGAGGTCTTGTATTACCCTGAAGGGGTTTATTTTGCAATAATGGCCTGCTGACTGTACATGATCCCACTTATTACATAACTGCTTACCAAATAAATATACGGATGTCAAATATTGATTTGAGTTGAAATTATTTTATTATCGCGTAGACAGCTTAACTAGCTTATCTTGTAGAATTTATTATCTTGTAGATAAGCTTAAAGTCTCTGCTAAGAAAAACAAAACAATCTGCCTAGAAACAAGACATACACTGCAACAATATTAAATTAAATTATGTGTATTTTTAATAATTTCTAAATTTTTTTACTGAAATTAATACTTTTATTCATCAAGATTGAATTAAACTGATCAAAAGTGACAGTAAAGATGTGTCACTTTACAAAAGATTTCCATTTCAAATAAATGCTTTTCTTTTGAACTTTCTATACATCAAAGAATCCTGAAAGAATCCATCAGTTTCCACAAAAATAATACGCAGCACAACTGCTTTCAACAATGATAATAATGTGAAATCTTATTTTTTTTTAGCTCTAAATCAGGTATATTAAAATTATTTCTGAAGGATCATTTGACACTGAAGACCGGCGTAATGGAGCAATGGCTTTTTTCTTTTAAAGGGGTCATATGATGTGATTTCAATTTTTCCTTTCTCTTTGGAGTGTTACAAGCTCTTGGTGCATAAAGAAGATCTGTAAAGTCGCAAAGACTAAAGTCTCAAATCCAAAGAGATATTCTTTATAAAAGTTAAGAGTCAACCACGCCCTCCTAAAACGGCTCGTTCTAACACGCCCCCACATATCTACGTCACGATGTGGGAAGATTTGCATAACACCACCCAAATGTTCACGCAAAGAAAGAAGGCGTAACTTTGATTCTCGCTGTAGTATTGTTGTTGCTGCCATGTCGTGAAGGCGCTGTGTGTTTCGCTGTGAAAGCGAAACTACTTTGTTTGGTCTTCCAAAAGAGGACAATATCCGCTTCGTCATGCCTAGAGCTGATCTGTGCTGGTCGCTGAGGGAATACATCAACTTGGCGCTGTGGATCGCCGGATCGGCTTTCACTGTGGGCGAAGCGGAGTTTTTTGCGGAGGATGAGGACTGTTTCCTGTGAGAGTAGCCTACAATGCCGGTGTCGGTTTCTATAAAGTGGGGCAGTTCCAACTTTGCAAGGACAGTCTGGTGCTCCTGACTCACAGCCTGTAAGTACGTTTTTTATATTTAAAGAATTTGCCACTGATGATTCAAACGCGAGTTTTGAGCAGTGTAGAGTAGCACTTGTTGTTTGTCCTTTCTCCAGACATGGTTTTATGTTTACGCTGCGCGATACGCAACACAATGCATAAAAAGACAGTATAAGTCATTATAATCAGTAATTATGTCCCCACTGGATGCAACAAATGCCTCGTTTGTAATGGGTTTTATTGTTTTTGTCTTGTCGCACCGGGACACGGCATCACAGTATGGTAAGGGGCGTAACATTTCCGTCACATGCTTGAGGTATTCAGCCAATCACAACGCACTGGATAGCTGGCCAATCAGCGTACACCTCGCTTTTCAGACCGATGAGCTTTGTAAAAATCGACACGTTTCAGAAAGGCATAGAGGAGCAACAATAATGTACATTATGGGGAAAATAATGTGTTTTTTTAACCTTAAACCGCATAAACACATTGCCCCTTTAGACAAATATATCTGACTCTGGAACAAAGCATTCTAGAGAGTGTCAAACTTACCCATCATATTATAAAGGCTCTGTGGGGCAAACTGCCTGGGCATCTTCTGTGTCGCTTCTTTATAAACAGATATGGCCTCCTAAAAATAAATACACCATTAATTAATAAAAAGCCACAAATGAAAGCATAACAAAGTACTCCGACTAAAAGTCTATTCATTCCAAGTCCTAATTTTTACAAACAAAATTTTAAACAAAACAAGCCAACTAAATCAAGAGTCTGAAATATCAAATTGCTATGATCGTTCTATTCAGAGGCTAGGATCACTTTTATGTATTTCCTAGGAAACCAATTTGAAAAAGCTCAGAAATTACACACTTCATGTTTAAAGCATTGGTCTGAAAAGTTGTGGTGTGAAAACTGACTTTTATACTGTCATATAATTTTATTACATCAGATTTGGTGTGCACAGACTTTAAATCTAAAGTCTTTAACTGTGCTAGAGAGCATCTCACCTCCTGGTGGCCCTGCTCATGAAGAAGCTTTCCCAGGTTATACAGGCAGCTGGTGACTGAGCTCTTGTGTGCATGAGGATCCTTCAGGTTTTCATCTGGGATATCGGCACAAGTGACAAAAGTGCGCTTGGCCTCTTCTAGAAGGCCCTGGTTCATCAGGACAATCCCTGTGTTCAAGTAGGCGGCTGAAAGAGAGAGAAAAAAAGGGTGAAAATAAGTGCAGAAGGTAATGAGGCTTATTGAGGCTCAGAGAAAGACTTCCACTGGGGCTGCTGGAATGAGCTAGTTGATTTATGCAGATCAGCGGCCTGCAGTCTAGTCGATAAGGTGCCAATACATATTCACTATCCACCCGGCCAGAATCAAATCTAAATCAGCAGGGGAATATCCACTCCAGCTGCAGGCTTAATTCTGATGCTCTTAATGGACCATACATACACACAGAACCACAGGTTTAAATGAGTTTATATCACAGGACGGGACAATTTATCACCATTCATGCAGCAGCGACTCAGGGAAAGTAGACATCTATCACTCTCCTAAGAGCTGCAATATGTGCATGCTCTGATCTCAAACTGTTGCAGATCTGTTACAGATGTCTCACAACACATTAACATGCGAGGAAATGCTACTGCACTAAAGTAGCATGTGAGGGAAGTAGAGAGTGAGGAAATATCTTTGCACCAAATTCCAGGGGTGAATTTTTTAATTGCACCACTGCAAAAACATGACTTTATTCATAATTCTCTGTTTACTGGGTTGTTTTACTATTTTACATTTTATTCACAATTTATTTTCTTATTCTTATCCATTTATTTTATTCTTTTATGTCTACTGTTTATATTACTCTATAACATTTGTATGTTTTTGGTACTGTGTTTTGTGCCACTTTAATGCTTTTTCATTTTGATTTTTAATATAAAAAAAATAATAGTAGAATATATACACTATATAAATATGTCAAAAGTTTGGAATAATTAAAAAAAAAATGTATGCTTTTGAAAAGTCTCTTATAATGACAAAGGCTACATTTATTTGATAAAAAAAAACGTAAAATTGTGAAATATTACTACAATTTAAAATAACTATTTTCTATTTTAATATACTTAAAAATTATTTCTGTGATGGCAAAGCCGAGTTTTCAGCAGCCATTACTCCAGTCTTCATTGTCAAATAATCCTTAAGTAGTCATTTTAATATGCTGATAAGTCACTGTATTTATTATTGAATAATATTTACTCTTTTGTGTTATTAAAAATATATCTCCTTATACACTGGCCGACAAGCTAGATGATTCTGAAAACATCCATAATGTTACACAACATTTTTTACAAAACGTCTCATTCTTTTGTAAAGTGAAATTTGACTTAAAAATCCCCAGACCCCACTGCACACATCATCATAATTGCCTCCCAGGGCAAATCTACTCATTCAAGCAGAGCAGCAATAATTTCCTCCCATGACACTAAAAACAACATGGGACATTTTATGAAAAACCTTAAAACAGCCAAAAATAGCACATGCATATCATTTGGATACGGGGCAAGCAAATGCATCCACACTGCGCCAGATAGTTGAAATCGAATCAAACGTCAATCATTCCTTGACAAGAGTGGAAACAGAGTGACTGTGTATGCCTGTGAATCATCATTATTTCTTTAATGCTGGACTTCGTTCAAGCATGCACACACAGCCACACAGACCTTTTAAATTGTAGTTGCCTGGACACAGTGAAGACTGAGGCGGCTTGAAATTGTTAATAAAAAGAGGAGCTGTACTTACAAGCCAGCGTTGGCCTGCTCCCAATGGCCAGCTTATAGTAGTGGAGGGCCTCTGAGAATCTGTTGTTTTCCTGGAGCAACAGACCCCTGCAATCCAAAAGGAAGAACAAATGAGAACAAGAACAGTTACAAAGTATGGGTAACACAATTCATTCAAATTAACAAAAAAGGTAGAAGTTTTATATAAACCATTATATTCACTTTATTTCCACGTTTGTTCAGTGATATTTGAGTTAAATAACTATGAAATCGACTAATAGAAAACAAAAAAGCTGTTTCCCAAATGCCCTGCAAGAGTTTTTTTTTTTTTTTTTAAATCAACTTCACAAATCGATGGACTAACAACCTACTACATACAAAATCAAACATTCAGAAAAAGAGACAGAAGAAAAAATACATACATTTAAAATCATTTAGTAATCAAATAAATTGTTCATTATATTCACTTCATTTGCATCCAAATTTGTGCAATATTTAATTGAGTTAAATAACTATGAAATCAACTTCCAGAGACCAAAAACAAACTCAAAGCCCTGTGTTTGTACTAATTTTACAGAAGGGTAGATGGAAAAGAAAAAAACATTGTATGACATGTAGTGTGCAAAATCTGTCACTCTAAACTCGCTCACTGGATACACCCTTGTTGAAAAATTGAGATGCATCGAGAATCGTTTCGTAATCACATCACAACTCCCTGAATTAAAATCAAATCGAATTGTGAGGTGCCTAAGGATCCCCATCCCCACTGCTAAGAACTGTGTGCGGTATATGAATGATGTATTAAGTGCCTTCATGCCCTGACTGAGGGGGTTAATGTGTCTAGGGGGTCCCTGACACCATCCTCTGGAAGGCTGATGAACCTGGGGACAGTCAGACTCTGGACTCTCAGGAGATGTCTTCAGCTTTAATAGGAAATATCAATAGAGTCGGCTGTTACGAGGAAGTCTGCTCACTCACAGGTTATACAACATGTCAGCCATGTTCCTCCGGTAGTACAGAGCGTTCCTGTAGGCTTGCTCGGCCTCCACCACTTTTCCCTGGTTCTTGAGAACGTTTCCCAAGTTACCCCAAGCTGAGGAAGGAGAAGAAAACATTCATATTCATAAAATACAAGAAATTACATTTATTTATTTATTTATTTATGTATGTATTCATTTATTTTTTCAGAAAAAGAGAGTAGATAAGTGTGCAATTAGAAAAAAATAAACAAAAAAAAAATTAAAGAAATAAAATAATTAAAATAAAACAAAACAAAAACAAAACAGTTCTGGTCTGATTTCCGTTTGGTCTGATTTTGTATTGATTATATAAATTGATGATTTTTTAAAAATGCCAAAATCGTACCAGGTAGTCACAATATTTCCAAAATATTTTATTATGGTTGTATAAAGCATCAATGTATTTAGCAAATAAAATGTAACGTGCATGTTGCAGTGTGGGACATTTCTTTCTGGTAAACCAAATATGTAAATTGTATGTAATTTCTTGTTACATTGTTGGTTTCATCTTTGATGTTGTCTCCAGAACATCTACAAATCATTTTCTTAAAATTTCACAAAGCTGCATTTTGTTTGGCTAGGTTACATCACAGCGCAACATCGTGAAACTTTATGCAAACGTTTTGTGCTTCCAAGACACATAGTAAATATGTGGATACAGAATCTGAAATTCATAAAGGCTTATGAGAGGCACAAGCGAGGAAAAAAGTAAATTACATTATATTAATGCAATCTTAGACGCTACTCATGCATAGTATCTGTGCCATGAAAGGGGCAAGACTGTAAAATTGGATCACGGGAGGTAATTACAAAGTCATATTGATGCAGTCTGGCTTGATAAATGATTTAAATGAAATTGTGACAATCAATTTGAGAGAATTTAACCAAAGAGGATAACGGGCTGTCGTTAATAGATGGAATTCAATCAGAGAGGACGATAATTTAACAGTTCAGTGGCTCTCCTCCACACACAAAATGAATTTGATGCATGAATCCATGTGAGTGATAAACTGGGAGAACTTCTAATGATTCTAATGCATTAAATCGTCATCTTGAGCTTACATTAAATTAAATATTCTCTGCACTAATGGAACTTGGTACTTAAAAAGGTATTTGTGATTTTGTTTTTATGCCATTGTGCACTTCGTAAATGTCAATATCACTTACCTAAAAATGATCTAATTAGATGTTTTAGATTAAAATGTTTATATCTGAGTAATAGGCCAAAAAGGAGTACAGAAATAAAGAGAGGCTGAGGAAACATGATACATAAATTCTCAAACTTAAAAACTTTTCATGATGAGCAACTGCCATTTTTGGTTTGCAGCAGCATTTGTGGGAAAATAAATGATCGCAACACATCCTGCTGTCATCTCATTTAATTAACACTTACCTTCTCCTGGTTGTTGTAGTGTAGATGGATGAGAATATGACTTTGGGTAACTAAATACTAGAAATATTATATTATTATATATATTGTCTATATTATATATTGTGTTTTTGCTATTTTGTACATTGCCTATTTTGTATAATATTCTTTTTATTATCTGTGTCCTGTCTTGTCACTGTCATTCTGTTGCACTGTGGAGCTTGTCACTAAAACAAATTCCTCGTATGTGTAAACATACCTGGCAATAAAACTCATTCTGATTCAGATTCAATATGGCTGCATAAAGAATTATAGTCTAAAAAGAGCAGGTGTTATTATAGTTAATTACAAATAAAATCAGAAAATAACATGTTTTTGCCTGAAATAAAAACATTAACTCGAAAAAAAAGTATATATATATATATATATATATA